TCTTAGGAGTCAAAGGAACTAATTGTGGTGAGGTAGATTGTTCATTAATATCTAATTTTCTTTGAACTGCACAATTAAAACCTTTACAATTAGCTAGTCTATTAACAAAAACTGAAAAAACACATTTACAAGAATTTTGATATGCATTGTAATGTTCAAGATCTACGTACGCACAGCTAATTTGGCTAATTTGCTGAAAAGAATCAGAGGTTAAACAAGTGTTTTTAAACTGTGCTGTAAGTGTCCATATTTTATTTCCAAGTGTTTTCCCAGTTAGTGAGGGGCTTTTCATAAAGTAAAGGGGAAAAAAGTCTGAAGGCAAAGAAGACAAAAATGTTTTATAATACTGAAGACAGTGAAATATCTCACAATCAAGCTATGACCTGCACAATTGAAGGCTTGTTAGTAGTAAGTGTAAATCCTTGAGAGCAAGAGACCTTTCTCCTCTGTAACTTGCCAGGATATTTTATGGAGACAGCTGTATCCATTAAGAGCTCATTAAGAATGATTTGACTATTAGGACAGTGGTCCTGGGTCTTAAAAGATTCTTACATCGTACTAGATACAGGGCACTGTTCTGGGAACAAAGGAAAACAAAACAAAACAAAACAGTCCACTTGTTAAGGAACGCACAGTTGGGAAAAGGGAGAGATGGTGGGAGAAGCGAAGCTGGCTACGCAGACCACTGTGGCAGTCCTGTTATCACTGAGCCCTAAAGTGCCGTTTTTTATTAAAAAAAAAAAAAAAATGCCTGTTTTATCTCTAAATTTTGAATGGTTCTGGTATTTCTGCTTAGTCAGAAAAAGAAACCCACTATTACACACTCCTCTTCTGAAAACTCACTTTAATTTTCAGATTTAGCAAAAAATTTCTATCTCCATTTTTAAAGTGGTATTACTTTTACCATTCTCTCAACAGTGTGCCTGCTATGTACTACCCACTGCTGCTGCACAAAGCACTGGTGATCCGACTGAACAAAACCAGAATTCATGCCTTCATGGAAATACATTCTGGATGGAGATATCTTCCTCAAATAAACAACATTTTGTATTGTGCTCAGCACCATGAAAGAACTGCATATTGCAACAGAAAAGAATGGGGAGAGACGGAAGTGCAAAGCTACCTTAGTAAAGGACAGGGAAGGCCTTGCTGAGGAAGTGACGTTTTTAAGTAGGGACATGAAAGACAAAGTGGCAATCAAGAGGAAAAGTGTTCAGGTACAAGGAGCAGTAAGGGAAAAGGCCCAGTGGTGGAAAAAGTTTTATGTCTTTGAGGATTTGAGAGAAGGTCCCTGACTATGGAGAAGTATGAAGGAGCACGGCAGAAGTTTCTTTCCTGAGTGCTTAATATATGCTAGACATCACGCTAAGTACTTTAATGCACGCCCTTACATGATCACTACCAAACCTATGAAGTTAGGGTCCCCTCCCCCTTTTCAAAATGAAATAAACAAGCATAGGAGATATTAAGAAACTTGTTCAAAATCACACAGCAAGTGGTAGAGTGTGGATTCGATTCAATGCAGCATGAATCCAAAGCCCACACTTTAACTCAAACTTACAGCCAAAGTTAGAAGATAAACAGTAGACAAATCAAGTGGAGCTTCAAATGCCACATTAAGGAGCTGAAATTTTATTTTAAATGCAGTGGAAAGCCACTGAGAAGTTTAAACAAAACTGTGACATTATCTGATTTACATTTCTACTGTGGCTGCTGTGTGGAGGAGTTGTATGTGTAAACAAAAGGAAATCAATAAGCAGTTGGGAGAGAAATGATGGCTGTCTGGACTAGAAGTAAACCAATTCAGGATCTATCTTGGAGCAGATAAAATTAGCCTTGCCAATGATTTGGATACATGGAATAAGAAAAAAGGGAAAGTCTCAACTCCTAAGCTTCTGGATTTAGTAACAAATGGATCATGATGGATAATCATGAAATGGTTTAGGATCAGACTAAGTTTAGGAAAAAGGGATAGTCATTCAATCATTCGACAAATCTTTATTAAGCTTCTATTATGTGAAGCAGACTACAAAACTGGTAAAGTTTCATCTTCACAGAGCTTCCATCACTGGGGTGGGGGTGGGGGGAAGGCAGACAAATTAATATATAAACCATAAGATAGTGTTAAGTGCTAAAGAAAACAACAAAGCGGATTAAGTGGAAAAAGAGGTTACTATTTTAATTAAATGGTTAGAGTTTCTCCAATGTATGAGCAGAGCCCTAAAGGAAACAAAGGAAGCAGGCTGAAGATTTCTTGGAGAAAAGAGTTCCTGACAGTTTGAGTAAGACTGCAATAGCTCCGAGACAGGAGTGTTCTTGGTATGTTTGAGGACTGGCAACGTCAGGGTGGTATAGCAGATGAGGTAAGTCAAAAATAGGAGATCAGTGGGGCGCCTGGGTGGCGCAGTCGGTTAAGCGTCCG